AAAAAAAAAAAAAAAAAAAACCCGTCATGGTACCCGACGCCGTGTAAGCTTACCCGTAGTACAATAAGGTGACACTTCTACGAAGCCCGATAAAACAGAAGAAGGTAAAATTTTACGAAATACCATATGTATATTATATATTCAATAAATCTGAATCTTTATTTCGTTGTACATATACAGCGTCGAATAGAAATAACGATGCACCAGAACGCGCCGGTGGGCTTCCGAAGCGTTCCAAAGTTGGTGCACGCACGAGCCAGTACGATACTGATGATTTTGTCGATGATGTACCTATACGCTGTCAGGAAGAAATCACAAAATCTCGGAATGGTATATGCTATTATTTTTTATTGTTTCTGGAGTCATATACATAAATTCATATATATAAATATATAGGGTACTTGGTGTTTGATGTTATTTTATCCTCTGTTAATTTGTAGATAAGGGCAAGTGCAAAATTGATGATACCGACATTATAGTCAAACATTCTGTTGATGAGGCTTCTGACGTTGATGTGGAAAGTGATGACGATGAAGTGTTTCTGAGTGTGTCTACGAGGACTTCAGCCGGTATGTTTGTCAAGGCGATTTCCGGTCTGTCAAATGCGAAGAAGAATGCAGTCCGTGAAATGGGCTTTGGACGTTTGTTGGAGTTGTCCATAACTACAACGCCGTTGAAGATGGGTTTTTGGTTGGTAAACAACTTCAACCACCTGGACCGGAAGCTCCAATTGTACGATGGGATAAAGTGCACGTTAAGGAAGAAGATGTATATGCTGTGTTTGGGTTGCCTCGTGGAGATCTCGAGGTTAATAACTAGAAGAAGCGAGTTATATCAAATCTGTTGGATGAGTGGGTCGCTCTCTTCGATGTTAGAAGGCCCTCGAACATTACGACGCTGAAGGTCTTGGATAAGATCAACGAATGCGATGATGGTGGTGTTTGGTTCAAGAGCCATTTCATAGTCCTTACGGTATCGTGTTTGTTTGAGAGCTGTCTGAATGGAATAGCGAACTCCCGTATAGTGCATGCACTTGACGATTTATCGGACGTTCGCGATATGAATTGGTGTTCATACATGATTAAATGCTTGGTCGACACAAAGAGATCATGGGATGCCAACAGTAAACAAAAGAAGACTTATGCAGGGCCGTTACTGTTCTTGATGGTCAGTCTTATTTCATTGATTTCGCATTATTTATTCATCTCATTCATGTCCTGATTGTTGTTGTTATTATTATTATTATTATTATTAATATTATTATTATTATTATTATTATTATTACTATTATTGTCTTTTTTTTTTTTTTGTTAAATGTTCGTGTATTATAGCGACAACCTGTATTCGTATGGTTGTTGTTGTTTTATTTATTGAGTTAATTATTGTTTTTTTTCTAATTTGGATTCAGTTATTCTACGTGGACAAGGTAGTGTTGTCCGTGAGATCGGTCCCGCGGAGGTTCCCGACGTTTATTTCCTGGAGTAACGAGGCCTTAAGAAACAGAGAACGTGACGAGATCGCTTCAGGGGCCTTCGGGAGAGGTTTCGTGGATGCAGACGCTCTCGATATCCACCAGCTTGATAAAATGGGTACGAACTCTGACGACGTCACTGCTGGGGTCCCAGAGAATTGTAGTGTACAGGTAGATACCAATTTGCCCTTTTTTTCTCTTTATATATATTTATATATTTTATTTTATTAACTGATGAAATGTGTATTTGTTTGGAGTAAAATGTGCAATGTGCAAATCATAAATGAGCATATGTGAATGATGATTGCATACATGAATTGTGTTCGACTCACAGTGTTTCTGTAATGATGCTGATACCACATACATATTGTGTAATACACAACGTGTACTTGTGCAGTTTGTTATAAATAAATGTGCTTGAAAATGTGGTGTTTGCAAAATGCCTTTCTATATCGTTACTTCTAAAATTTATGGCGGTCAACGTTATGCGTTATGATTTTCATCATAAGACTTTGCCTGTATTGTTTTTATACCCCACATTTTTTTATTTGTTTTTATGCGTCCTGATTCCCTCACTCGTCTCACGAACAAGATCTAAGAATAACATTTAGTTAATCGAAGAAGGGGGGGTCTTTTAATAGTGAGAAAAAGGGATCGCTTGTTCCTTGCAAAGGTCTTTGAGAAGATTCTTATATCTAATTGATGAGTCATAAGAAGACAATCCGTGGTTCATATGTTTAGTACCAAACTGAGTTCATGGATTTCCCTATGTGAGTTTATGGGCCAATGAAGTCTTTTTCTCTTCGAGACCCCTTGGAAGGGGGCATTGCAAGAGAAATCATAGAGAAATGATCGAATCTTTAGACGCCCCGAAAATACTATGAGATGCTCGAAAATGGTTGAAGTAGTTTATCATTACAAAATGTCCATTGTCCGTTGTGAAATTGTGCACCATGGTATGCGGTAGAGTGCATTATTAATTAACTGTAGCATTACATCTTTTCATCAAGCTTATGTTCATGAGTTTACGTCTAAAACACGGCTTCTTGCAACTACCGGGGTTGAAATACTACAATTGGTTGAAAAGGCCCTGCAAGTTCTACTTGAAGATGAGAACTTTGTGAAAATGAACGAGGCGGCGCACAAGCTTCTTGGAGTGTACAATGAATTGCCACGCAGTGACCCGAACTATCCCGTTAATAGTCAGGAATGTGGCCCAATCGGAAAAAAGGATGGCGTAACAGGTATACCATTAGAGGTGGCATTTTACAGCAGAACGATGATGCATTCTGGAACGCTCCTGATACATTAGCTGCACTCGATGAGGTTATGAATGCAATTGAACGGCGATACCGCTTCAAGAGGATGCACAATGAGGGGCCCAATTACAGCTTGGGGTTGGGTTTGACTCCAGATTATGTTGTTGTCGCCGATGGCATTGATGATGGCACACATCAGCGTACGAGTGTGGATAGAAATAAAAAAAATAGTTGGGACGTCACTTACTGTGGATATGCAAAAAGGTACGTGCTTTAATAAATGCATACATACCACTGTGGTAGGTGTAGCGTTTGTAGTGCATTTCTGTAAACATCTTGGCGATGTTGTTTTAATACATCTATTTTTTCATTTACAAAGTTGACGTTGGTTTGTCTGACAATACGATGATAGTGGAAGTACCTGGGCTAGAAACCGTCAAATGTGCAACTACAGGTACACGTGTAATTGACGTCATTGTTAACGCACCAATTGTGCTTACTTTTTTTCCTCTTTTGTATCCATGATTTGTTTGTTCATACATATATATTTATATAGGTTTTCCAATTTTCATTTTTTTTTTCAGTCAATGTTGATGTTTTGGATCATGTCGAGGCTGCAGACGGGACACCGAGGCCGAAAAGGTGTACTAAGGTAGCGAGTATAATCAAGTCTCCATTTAAAGTAAGGTCGATTGATGTTACAAAGAAACTTGATGCTCACGAAAAAATGCTCGCTAACTGGGTATTGAAGAAAGACGATGAGGACGGGTACGATTTTACGTTTCATTGTGTTACTAATATAACGTGCCAGCAACCGAGCATAATAATATACAATCGCATGATGTTATATTTGTATCATTTGCATAGCATTCTAATTTATTATGTATGTTGTATGCATGGTTATGCTCGCGATCAGCGATGTTATCATTTATCAATCATCCGAGTTTTCTGCGAAGAAACATCTTGTGTCATGCTTGCTGCCAGATTCGGCCATCACAAACGAGCTTCTAGACTTGTGGTCGTGCATTCTGAACTACAATGAGAACTTCATGAGTCGTGGCACATCTACGTGTTTTTATGCCTCTACATCTCTATGTATCGAGGTATGCAATCTTATATTATGGTAACGTTATAAGTATGTACCCACTTGTGAATACGATAGGTTTAATCGCATTCATGTGGCACAGTCCGTTCACAGCTATTCTATGATGGAAAGCGGAGAAAGGACGTTGGCTACAAAAAATTTGCACAGATGCTAGATTCCGAGATCAAATGATTGTCCATCTACAAATTAAATGAGATATCCTTGGTAAATGAATTCGTGAAGAAAACCTCATATTTGGTACCTTTTTAATTTTTTTCCTTGATTTTTCCTCTATTTTTTTTTTTTTTTTACTTTTTGTCTCTTTCTATTTTCTCAATGTATACCAGTCATATCGTCTGGTATAAGCTATCAATGTGTGGCAATATTGATTCATATGCTTATGTATGATTTTTCTCATGCGTTTATTGGTGCAGTTTCTGTTTCCTGTAATCTTAGCAACTTTTTTGGGCTTGCTGTGTATGGCGCTAGAATCCCAAAAGTTCACGATTTTAAATAGTGCAAGCACTTGTAAAGATGCAGTTGTTGAGAAAATAATCATGTCTCGTGCCGAGCTCTTAGTAATGTTATAATTTCTTATAGTGTAATCGGACGTTTTTTTCATAGTGTGATATAATGATTATGTTTTCAACTACCCACAGCGGCAATCACTCTCGAATTATCTAGGCCAGAGGAGTTTGGTAAGAAGGTCCAAATCTGTTGCTTTGTCTGTCCCTGAGGTCGTATGCCCAGCCTGGACCGAGGATGTTGATGCGGCAGACGCCAGCGTGATCACGATGCGCCATATGGAGACGTTTAAAGGTGCATTTACCAAAAGTTGTAGTCCACATATCAAGACCAGAGACAAGAGCCAGATGAAGCTTATGAGGAAAAGATACAGCTGCGTGATAGCATGTGCCCCGAATAACGGTCTAAAGGAACCAAACCTTGCAGCTGCGGCGAACTACCAACCCCTGCATATGGCAAAAAAAACAAAAAAAAAAAAAAAAATGTAAGTGCGGGCGTCTATTGAACTAGCTGGGTGGTCACGCTTTTTGTCTTAAGACCCGTTTTAATGACATGTTGATATCAAATTTAATCGAAATGTGTACGTGACAAAACTTTTGGTGGTCTAGTATGTGTTTTTGGGTATTATGCGAACAACTGTGTTTGTTAGAGCTCGTCTGTATCGAGACTATTTTGTTTTGCTACTCGTGTTGGTACCATGTTTTGCTACTCGTGTTGGTTGCAGGTGAAGATTTGGGAATGTTTTAAATGTGTCGGTGGTGAATTAGTACTTGTGGTCGTATCACATGGACATTTGGGTAATTTGACCACATTCGTATTGTATATAATGATGAATGCTCGCTGGTGACGATCTATGGCTTCATGATATTATGTGTATGTTCGTAGATGGTCTTTTTATTTTCAATTTTTTATTTTTAATTTTTTTCTTGTGTTTTTTTATAATGTGCTTGATGTTACATATTGTGGTGCGATACATCAAGTGTTATTGTGCAATACGCGAATATGATATACACCAAAATCGTGATACGTGTGTATACGATTATCATTATTATAATTATAACTAATATTTTTATTATTATTATTATTATTATTATTATTATTATTATTATTATTATTATTATTATTATTATTATTATTATTATTATTATTATTATTATTATTATTAGTAACAGTAATGATGTTGTTTCACAAGTGATGGTGTTGTAATGTGCGTTCACTATTTGAATATCGTGCTGTACGTATATACCAATATGCACTCCATCATACGTATATATTTTCAGTTATTTCATTTTTTCCTCGATGCAGCCATGTCGGTGTACATGCAATTATATTGGTCGCGAAAGGGTCTTACATTAACACATGCGTGTTGTGGTAGGTTCCATTAATGTTGGGTACACTGTTACTCAAATTCGTGATGATGCGGTGTTGATACGATTTTAAAGTGCAATTCGTTCATGTGTGATGTGCGTCTCAGTCAGGATATTGTGCATTCAATATTGAACAGTACCTATATGATCATTGATAATGTCCATAATTCAGTGAACAATTATTAGATGGATTCCTACATATTGTTCAAATATTAGAGTATATAGAACATTCAAAAGAATCCCATTGATGCAATAACCGCATATACGAAATAGTAATACGTTTGCGTTTGTACCGGTAGTTTGACAATACTTATAATAACATCCAGTCTCAGAACATAGCATAGAAAACAATGTTTGCATTTTTCGTAATTAAGATAGAATAAACTCAAGTACACCATGCGCTATAAACGAGTCCAGTGATATACTTGTGCTTCCAATTGGAGGTCCCCATAATATTCGTGCCTGCAATCGTAATTATGTACAAATTAATATTCATGTCGATGGTTGTACATTGTGAAATATGCGGAAGCAAAAAAAAACAATAAATAAAAAATAGAATAAAATAAAATCTTGCAGCGCATAAAAATAATATAATATATGATTCCTGATACTACTGACTGACGTACATTACCTTCCGTGTACGTACAGACCCAAAAAGAAGACGGTCTGATTAGCTAAATCTCTATAATAATCAGAAAGTTTCAGTATAATGAATTTCAAATTTGGTTGTAAAGTTATCAATTGTGTAACTAGATTGAAATTGAGTGTTATAAAAGAATGGTAGTCACCTGAGTATGCAACGTAAATTTACGGCTTCTTGGGGCATGTTCGTGCATTGTGTCCTGCCCTCTCGCCACATGACTTGCAAATCCTTCTTTTTTTATTGCTTGTCTCGATCGACTTCTCCTTGTTGGTTTTCATCCTTCTCCCACTACCTTTGTTTTTCGATTGTGTAGGCGTGTGGATGCTTACCTCTGATGCCGCGGACATGCCACCAAATGATTTAAAACCGTGCCCCCTGTCATTGCCTGATGAGTCACTCTTCTGATATTCCACGAGCTTCCGCTTATGTGCCCCAATTATCTTTGAAAACTCAACAAGATGGTCAACGTGCTTCTCAGCCAACCCCATGCATATATGTAGGTCAGACCACAATTGATTAACCATCGACTTTCTTTCGTCTATTTGTGCGCACTCTTCAGAAATGCTGTCAAGTATACGGAACATAGGAGTGCTAATGGCCAGCTTTATCCACCTTGACATGATGTGTGCGGGCGGAATAACGTCTACGTTCATATCCTTCAGAGCAACGAAAGCATGCCTACACAACCATCCATACATCTCGAAGTGCTTACATGAACAATGTGATGTATTCAGGTTTGCATTGTACATCACGTTAAACGTTTTGCCATCAATGTCCTAATAGTAAACTCCATGCGACCGTCGTTTTCAGAACAACTCATAACTCAACATTTGAAACACGCATCGCAAATTTCAGCTTGCACACGATAGAATATTGTTGTTGTGTACACGTCTAAGGCACACTTCTCAATCAGCAGCGGGGTTTTTAGATCCGCTAGATGGGTTTCACAATCGTTTTGTAACTTCATTGATGTGTTTCTTTGTGCATCCATTGCACTATCAAAGTGTAACAAGAACTCGACCAAACTAGAATGATTATTCGTAAAACTACTAAACCAATTATTCTCGCTTTCAGACCTAGACGTAGTTCTCATTAAACCACTCATCCCAACATCCCTAAAGTAAGCCGGTATCCAATGCTCCTTTTTAGCATATAAATCATTAAACCATCTATGGGTGTCCAGTGAATAATCTTTCATAATCGAAACCCATTTAGTTTCAAATTCATCAGGTTCTATAAGTCGACACCAAACAAGTTCATTGATTCTCCGTTTGAAATTGGTATCATTAGTCAAATCATGGCCGACCTTATCATACAGTTTGTTCATTATATGCCACGTACAAAAGTGGTGCTTGGTACTAGTGAATACCTTGGTGAAAGCAATTCCAATTGAAGGGTCCTGGTCGGTGATCATGTAGTTGGGCTCTTGAATCATTGTGTTTTTGAAGTTCTCGAACACCCATACGTATGAACCCACGTCTTCGTTTGATATCAGGGCAGCTGCAAACGTCACACATTTGTTGTGGTTGTCTATCCCGGTAAAAGGTGCAAAAATCATATTATACCTACAGGTTATAACCATATAACCAACATCACATATTAGCACATAGTGTATGTATAATGCACAAGTGTCTTGTTTGATATTATGTTGCACATATCATATTAGTGCGAGATTGTTTTTACCTGTTGGTGTGGTAGGTTGCGTCGAATGATACGACATCTCCAAAAGAACTGTAGTTTCGCCTCGATATCGGATCAGCCCGGAAAAGCCTTCGTAAGCGATGTTCGTCATCCACCTCATACTAAAAATAGAATGCTGAGCTATTTTTTTGCCGTTTATAAAACTTATCGATTACCAACTGAGCATCAGCGCCTACAATGAACGCAAGGAGTTCCCTCTTGAAATTTTTAAAATCGGCATCAGTTGCACCAATATTCGAATACCCGCCAACCATCTCCTTGTACAACTTGTACGACTTTATGGGCCCGATATTGGCTTTAATACAGCTAAGGACAAAATTTTGATGCGCGACAGACATGTTTTGATTGATCTTCAACCGTGATCTGCACTCATCCGGTATCATGGTGTGGTTATGTTTTTCCTCAAAAGACCTAACAACATATCCGTTACGTCCATATAATCGTATCATAATTCGGGCGTTGCATCTCACCCGGTTGGATACTCTACGTCTTCTTACACGATTTTCATTTGGCCCCGGTTGGCCTGTGTTTGTGTGTTGTTTGTAGCCTTCACGTGAGCACACTAAGTACTTCCAAAGTATTGTCTTATCCCGTGCTTTAACCAACGTGTTGTGCCTAACGTCAAACACTATGATAGAAGCATACAGTTGGTAGAAGTCGACTGCTTCATTCAAAGCTTTAAATCGTTGTCCATTGTGAGGCTTCAGCGCGTCATCGCACTGCGGTATCCATTATTTAGTGCCCCCAGGTGATATCAAAAGTCGATGGTGCTGTGTTCTGTCAGTCGGGGCTTGTTCTGAAACAAGTCATGATAAAAATAAATCACCATTAAAGTGCACATTTATGTTGAAAAAAACGCATTATATAATATAAATTATGCACTCTAGACTACCTGGATCACACGTGTGATCCAAGATACTAAATTCAAGCAACTAATGACAAGAAGTTCATATCGTACCTGTTTGGGAGGCGTCCAACTCCATATGTTGCAACTGTATTGTAACACCCCAAACTCATGTCGTTCATTTTATGCTTAGTATTATTTTCATGGATATTATTTATGTTTAATTTAATAATTTACAATGTTATTTTCATTTTTATTTTTATTGTAAGCTCGATTTTTTATGTGATGATTAAGTGAGTGTCCACACTTATTTAATTATCAAGTTAATGATTAAAAGGGAATTATTTAGATGTCCTCATCTATTTAATTTTCTTAAGTATTAAATGCAACTATGTTAATATAATTTTAATTATAAAATGACTTAATTTAATTAATATATATTTTAATTTTAATTTATTAATAAAGATAATAAATATTAAGATGATATATTGAGCTCAAATAACAGTCCAATTTTCCCAAGCCAGATAAAAAACTCAAGACTTACGATATTTTCATCCCTCATCCAAGCAATAGAACTCTTAATTTTAATCAGTTTCCTAGTTCTATTGTGCAAAGTATTTTTATTGTATACGGTACCAATCTCATTAAATGTCTCTCATCTCTCTCAACACTTTTTTTTTTATCTCTCACGAACCCACTCTTCTCTCCCTCTCTCTCACGTTTTTACCGATCATCATCCCTTCATCATCGATCACCACCATCATCGTCCAACACCATCAATCATCACCATCCCCATCGTCCCCAGCTTCATCGTCATCACCATCGTTCATCGCCGAGCTCCATCGATCACCATCACCATCTTCACCGCCTCAGTCCGCCACAACAACCACCGCGAAGGCCTTCCACCGGCGATCCTCCGCGCAGCAGTCAGCCATCGATCATCCGCCACCATAGTCATCATCCTCGGCCACCTTCATCGCACAGCCCTCCATCACGGTGAACGAACAAGCAGACCGCCTCCAACGTCCTCCTCCGCGCACCACCATCACCATCATCGCACAAGCTCCTTCAACATCACCGTCGCAGCTCCATTGCCGTCGGGACCCGAGGAGTTCCGTCGGAGTACCCATCGTAGCCGTCAAGCCCCGTCGAGTTCCGTCGGAGCGTCAACCGTAGCCGGCGAGCCCCGACGCAAGCCGTAGCCACCACGCAGCAAGCCTCCATTGCCATGAGCAAACAGCCACCTTTCGAAGACACCACCTTCGTCGAGCAGCCATCGTACCTCAGCCACGAGCAACCCTCCACGTTCACGGCCAAGTTCATTCGAGCCCTCTTTCGAACCCTTACCGTCATCCTTTTTCTCGAGCGGTAAAAACCCTACTGCTTACTTCTTGGACTGTTATTATTTCGAATGCGATTAATTACGAAGAATTATTTATGTGTTAAGACTTAATAATCAAATCTCGTATGCTTGCTTAAGGTCCGAGTAAATAATTGTTGAGTTATTCTTGAAGATGGAATTGGTCGGAGCCTTGCCAGGCTTCCGAAAGAATTGTTTGAATGATATGTGAATAGGGTTTATTGTTGTCAATTTATGTGTTCATAATCGTGTCTTATTGTGTGATAAACGTGCCTAGGATCATCGATTATATGTTGCTTTCGACATGTTAAGAAGTTCGGATAATTAGATTATGATTTCATGTGTAATTGTCATTTTTGTACTGTCTGTTCGGGAGCAGTTTAGGCCCCTGAGATGTTATTTTCGGTTTTCGAGTTCTTCATATGATATGTGGTTCATTCATTTGTGTTTACGTGAGCTTTTGAATCGTGCGATTTTGATTTAAAACGAATAAGTTATAATTTTTACAAAATTGACTGCACGAGC